TTCGGTTTTCCTTTGCTTGTAAGAGCGGTCGCCTCCGCCCTTCATTGCTGACTGTTGCAGCCACGGTGACAAACGCAGACAGCTCAACCTCATTGTCAGCGAGCGATCTTTCTCCCAAAGACAGCACGTTCTGCATTCAATCACCGATAGGCAGTCTATGTCTTTTTCTTTCTCGCAAGGAAAATGATATTGCTTTATCAATTTAAAGCACTTACAGTATTCAACAATGTACTTCCATAAAGCAAACGAGCATCTCGGGAGAGCACGTCATATATAACACCTTGTGACCACACGGCGTCGTATTAAGCAGGCAGCTTTGTGTGCTATTAGTGCTTGCTCTTGTTGTGCTTGTGATCTTTGGTTATAAGTAACCTTTGGATTTATTCTCCAATGTTCTCCAGTGCTTCCTTAATTTTGCAAGGGCAGGGGGAACTCATGTAGATGCTTGGGGAAAATGAAAGCTAATTGTGAAAGGCTCCATGGAAACGTGCGTAGTGCGAGGCAGTGCTGGCAGAGGCTAGCCCACATGAGGCAGGCAGTGCTAGCAGAGGCTAGTCCACACGGAGCAGGCAGTGCTAGCAGAGCGACTCACGCAGAGCTTGAGGTTAGTGGCTTCAGTAGTTAGTGGCGATATGATTCTCAGTGACCGTGTGCAAAAGTGTGTAAACCTATGCCCTGTTCAGACCAGCTGGAACTGTACTCATGTCTCATGCTGCTGACGGTGTCAGGTTGAAATACGGAGATAAAAATAACAAGTTTTCCTACATAAACTTTAACCTGAAACACTGTGTGCTAAAAATCAGTCTGGTCGGTCAGTAAGGATTCTACAAGATGAAAACCGAAGGAGGGGCTGGAGCAAAGGTTCAGCAGTTCAGAGCACTGGCTGCTCTTCCAGGGGACCCTGGTTCAGTGCCTAACAGCCACGAGGCAGCTCACAACCATCTGCAGCCCTTGCTCCAGGAGATCTGATGCCCCCTTCTGGCCTCTGTGGGCACCAGGCATGCACATGGTGCACAGACATACATGCAGGCAAAGCACGCACGCACACAAAACTTAAAACACAATTTTTTAAAAAAGATTTTGTTGGCAAACCTTCTTTGGAACATCCTTCTGTTTTAGAGGACGTGCATGCGTCCCTGTACGCTGCTGTGTGCACATTTTTTATTGCAGAGATTCCAGTAAAGAATGCTATGTGCTTGCTAAATGTGTGCATATTATTATAGAGAGCCCATCAAAGACTTAGTGGGAGCTAAGTTTGTGAAGCGTCACCTGGTGCAGTGAAATAGTCTCATCAGACCCGTCTTTCCCCCAGAGTTAGCCAGTGTCTGTGTGCACACATGTACCCTTAACATACTCCTCAGTGCTTGGAGAGAAAAATAGTAAAACCATGAAAACTCATAAAATTGAGGCTACTGGCATAGAAAATACAGTTGTTATTTATGAATGGATTTTTTCTTTTGGCCCTGTTCTGGGCACTGAATACACTCGGCAAACAACTTTACCACTGAGCCACACGACCCCAGTCCCAAATTCAGTTTCTATAACCATTTACTAACAAGATACAAACTTCATCGCCATATTGTCTAAGAATTCTGGCAAGTATGGTAGTAACAAGTAGTAAGACATGACAGCCTCCGCTCCCCACCCTGCGGGTAGAAACGCCAGACCTTTCAAGTTCACAACCAGAAGGAGATTGCATTTGTCAGACAAAGCTGGCAGGAAACAAAGTGGTCAAGGCAGATGCCAACAGTTTACTCTCCCTCAGGGAACAGAAGCCCGCAAGAATGGTTCTCCACTCTAATTTATATCGAGGTATTTGAAAGGGGGCAGGAAGGAGTGGGGGGGATGATGAACTAGGGCTCAGAGTCATGGAAGTGGAAATGTCACACAGACACAAGGGGAGTCCTGAGTGGGTCCGGGTGCAGCTTACCTGGTTCTACCAGCTGGGACATTAGCAAGTTAGGCTGTCCAAACAGACCGGGAGACAGGGACCCACCTGTCTTTAGAGGTGGGCTGGGTCCAATGTGAAGTTCTTCACGGAGCCTTGAGTTTTCTCGACCTCAGACCTTGAGCTCTTAAAATATTGGTGTTGAGTTCTATGTAGGCCCAGGCTGCGGCCCAGTTCAACAGAAGGCTCAGAGAAGCCTGGCCAGGGTTTGGTCAAACGGGGTCTTCATCAGATCTTGCCCTGGAAAGTCCAATTAGTTCTAGGTTTCATTATCTACCTCTCAACTTGTGACTTCCCCTTCCTCATAGACTTGAACCCACCCTCCTTCCAGCCTCACGAAGCCCAGTGCCTTCTGACCTCTGCCTGCATTTCCAGCCTCGGCCTGCCCCCACGGGTATCAGCCACACTTCTGCTTGTCTTTTGGCGTTGAAGTTGCTTTCCCAGGTCTCCCTACGCAGGCCATGTCCCCTCGGTTTCTGGAATCATTTGCTCATCCAGGTCTGGAATATGTATGCATGCGCTCCGTGCATTTCTCACAGTCAAAGGTGAATACCGGGTGTTTCTGGATCACTCTTCACCTCATTTTGGGGTCTGTCACTCAACCTGGAGCTCACCCTTCCCAGTTGCTCCCCGACTGGCCAGTGACCTCTAGGGATCCACCCATCTTTCCCACCCAGTGCAAAGAGTGCAGAGGTGTAAATGGAGGTTTCTCTATCTCTCCTGGTCCCACTGCTGCTTCAAAATAATCACTCAGAGGCTTAATATTAATTATGAAATATTTGGCCTATAGTTTAGGCTTATTACTAACTAGTTCTTACATTTAAATGAACCCATTTCTACTAATCTATGTATTGTCACGTGGCTATGGCGTCGCCAGTCTACTGGCATCTTGTTTCTTGGGCACCTGGCTCGTATCCTCCCCCCTCCCCTGCCCCACTTGGTCCTTCTTTCTCCCTGTATTCAGTTTAGCTTTCCCGCCTAGCCATATTCTGCCTTGGTATAGGCCCGAGCAGCCTTTATTATCAGCCAATGAGAGCAACATCTATTCACAGCGTAAAGAAGGGTGATCCCACTGCACAGACATGTGCTACTTGATGGGTCCTGATGCTGGCACGCCAAGTCCTTTACCTACTGAGCCATCTCTCCAGCCCTGAGACCTCTCTGTAACTGCATAAGAGCTGCTTCCTTGGAGACGCAGAGACGCTGTCTCTACCTGACCTTCTTAGCATGGCACTTCTCACCTTTGTTCCTGTCATAGCAAAGGTTTTAGCACTGCTAGAAGTTGCTGGTATGTTATATATTTGTGTTTGTTGCTGTCTGCACCAGAATATAGCACTGGATCTTACTGACAACTGAATGCCCATCACCTAGCACAAGACTTAGCACATTATAGGATTGCGTAAATGTGCTTAGAGCAAATGGAGACCCTTCATTGAGACATTTGTGTTATAAAAAGCTTACAGGTTTTTCTAATTGCCAAAATATAAAGTGATAAGGGTGCTAAATTGGTTAATAACATGTACTGGCTGTAAATCTGTCATCCATGATACACAGTTGTGAGGATGGGGAGCCCTTACTGTGGAGTTCAGGATCACAGTCTTGGCACTGCCTCCAGCGTGCTGAGAACATGGGGTGCGCCATTTTCTATAGCTGAACTTTTTTCTTTTATTACGTCAGGTTGTATGTGACTTAAATTGGCTGTCTCAGCAGTTATTGAGAACACAGTTGAGGGGTATAAAGTAGGTTTACTTTGCTGTTCTGGGTGACTGTCCCCACCAGCTGTCTCTACTACTTCCTCATCTTCCTGAGCTGAAATGCTGTACCCCTTCAGCACTAACACCCCTGCCCCCTGCTTTTCCCTACTTGGCCTCTCACAGCCATTGTTCTGCTTCCCACGGATCTGACTGCTTTTGACGCTTGGGATGAGTGAAATCATATGACGTGTGTCCTTCTGTGACAGAAATAGTTCATTTAGCATCATGTTTTCACAGGTCATCCGTGTTGTATGTATGTAGAATGTGTCAGAATTGGCTTCCTTTTGAAAGTTGGATAATTCTTTGGATAGATGGTTGGTAGATTGATAGGTAGGTAAGTAGGTAGGTAGATGCCACTTATCCATTCCTTGGTGGAAACTGACCATAGAGAAGCCAGCACTTTGGATAGAGGAAATGCACAGGAAGGAAAGGGCGGGGACTAGAGTTTGAGCTCTCTTGGTTCTAGGACGAGGCAAGAGATGTGTCTCATGGTGTGTTGTGGCCAAAGAGCAAGGCCAACTAGCTGCTACTCAGCCCCTGAGCTAGTAGGTTTTCACCCCAGCCTTTCAACCCCAAGACTTATTGATAACTAGAACAAGAGAGACTTCATAAACCTATACATTGTGACCGCGGCAGAGCCGAGGCGTGGGACCCCACCAGGTCCGCGGCCTGAGTGAACCATGGGGTGGCAGATGATAACTGATAAAATATCAGTCGATTCATGTGTGGCCACTAAGCCAGCACTTCAGATGGACACTTGAGTTATTCAGCCTTCCAGGTCTTATAAGGTAGTGCCTCTGTGAACACAGTGCTCACATGTTTATTCCTGTCCTAATTTTCCGTCTTTGTAGGTGTTGTCCAGAAGCTGAACTGCTGGGTCTCCCCGGGACGGTATCTTTTTCCTAGTTTTTGGAGGAACCGCTGCACTGTTCTTCTCAGCAGCTGCTGCCCCCTGCTCCGCTTGGCAGTTGTGCAAGCTTCTATATCCTCCTCACCCCAGGCAGTGTTCTTCTGTTTCGTTCCCACAACCCCAGATTTGTTCTCATGGTGGTCATCTTGCCTAGCAGTCGACATTAGATGGTACCTTTCTGTGGTTGCTTTACCCTGGAAATGGTCAACATGACTTCGTTATTGCTTGGGGCCTCTTGTGTGTGTTTAGAGAAATGTCGTCTGAGTCATTTGTCCTATTCTCTAAGATCAGGTTGTTTGTGGTTTTCATTTTGCTGGATACTTGAATGGCTGACCTCATAGAGACAGCATGTAAGAATATTTAAGGGTGCCTTCTGTCTCGTTCTCAGGGGTGCGAGGTACCATCTGCTAGCTCACACCACCCTGACCTTGGAAAGTGTGGGGGACTGCTTCAAGACCCATAATCTGTCTGTTCACGGCAATGGTGAGTACTCTGTGCAGGATTTAATCACGTGTGTTAGGTGTGTGTCTGTGGTGACAGTGACTTCTAATTTTAGCATGCTCCCCTAGAGGGGATATTGGCTTTACAAATATACACATGGACGAGTCTGGGTTTTCTCCACCATGTGTATCTCTTCCCCAGAGGAGAAAGATAAAGGGTTCTTGTTGCTGTGGTGACTGACCCTGACTCCGAGTAGTAAGAACTGAAGCGTTCCATGTCCTTCTCTGTGACTCAAAGTTGATAATTCTCTGTTCTGCTGGCTGACAGTCGGATGTGTCTGGGTTTAAAGTTAATGATCAGGACAAGCCACGCCTTCTGTTGATAGACAGAGAGGGCACAAAGGAAGCAGGCTTGTGTTCATTTTAACTCCTGAATAATAATGCTAATTTCATTTTTTTTTTCCTGAAAGGAATCTATGGGAATGTGTCTAAGAAGCTTAGGCGGTAGGGAAGGTCTGTGAGCATTTTTCTAGCTGTACCCGGGGTGGGAAATGCAGAGCAGTGTTGGGCTAGGAGCTGAGTTCACACTCATCCGTTTTGTAGGGGAAAGGGTATGGAAGTGAGTGTATGGCTACTTCATGTTTTCTGCTGTAAAGGCCAGAGGCCTCGATGCTCCTGGGATGGGTGATTTTATGGTGACTTTGCAAAGTTATGATAAAATTTACTAAACATAGAGGGAAGGTGACGGGCTGTGAAACGTGTAATTTACCCTTTTTAAGGGGAATCTCTACACAACTATTCTCACCGGTACCACGTCCTCTGGGAACTCTGGGTGTGGAAGTCCCAACATGGCTTGTGTTTGTTTCCCTGCTGGTCTTTCATGGCTCTGCCATCTGTATGTCCTTCCCCAGATGCTAGGATTTGGACCATGCGTGGACAGAGGTGTTAAGCCCTCTTAGTGGAGGGTGTTCGCTTTCCCCCCCACCTGCATTGTGCGCTGCCACGCCCCTACAATGGAGTTGTCTTCAGGTAGCTGCGGGCTCTGCTTTCCTGTGTCTTGGGTCATTTCCAGAAAGTATTCTCACAAGTCCTTGTGGACTCGGCCTGGATATGAGTTTTATGAACACGGAATCTCCTTCAACACTTTATATCACACAGCCCCTGCAGTACCGTCTGCCCCCAGTCTGTTTCTCGTATTGACGTCTTTTCGTCTTCTCTATTTTAATGCTCATTCTCGAAACAGGCCCGTCTGCCTTATTTACTAGCACGCTAATTATCTGTTAGACATAATGGTGAGTGTGCAGAGTCTGTGTGGCAGGAGGTATGGACGAATCAAGTTCTGCATTCCAGTCTTCTTGTCTATTCGATTTTGCTTGGCCTAATTTGAGCCTTTGTTATTGTACATAATTTTTAAACCGTGTTTTTATTTTTACTTCAAAATATGCGTTTTTTCATGTTATAGGCCTGCCTCTTCAAACAAGGGGTAATTACTTTTATCATTCAAATTGTCCTCTGTTGGTAAAATTATACATTATGTTGTAATATCTTAGAAATTACCCTTAAATTTGTAATCACCAAAGTAAACACCGAGAGCTTGTTTTCTCTTTTTTCCAGACAGCGTAAAAGCTTTGGACTCCATTCCTGCAATCGGTGTGTTCTTGTTGTAGAACATAATTCTGTTTGTTTTTAAATTTCACAGGATACTTTGGGCTTCATCTTTTGACCCGGTCTTACCCCATGTCCTGTGTGTCCGTAGGGACTACTCGACTTTCATGCCTTGAATTTGGGATTACTTCCTTTCTTAAAACACAGTCCTTAGAGTTGCTTTTAGCAAGATTTTTGGGGGCTGGCAGTCTCAACTTCACTCTTGAAAGCCATTTTTCTGAGCCGTAGTTGGCACTTTTATTTCCTGTCCATCCTATCCTCACGTGCCCTTTGGTTAGAAAGGAATGATTAAGTATTTTGACAAATGCTTTGGGCACTAGGATTGAGAGTAGCCATGACACGTGGACAGAGTGGACTGTGGGAGTGAGGCTGCCCTGGGACATAATCGGAGGCAGTTGGCGTGTGCCAGGCTCATGGTCGATGCCACACACGTATTTCACACATGATGACTCTTATGAGAGAGGTAGTGTTTTTCAGTGTAGAATTAATGCTCAGATGTTGAGTGAGTGTCCTGGGGGTCCTCTTTTTTGTGAGGGGCACAGAGGAGCTGTGACTCCTCTGTTCCTCAGTCTGGAGTTATCGACGCCTTGGTAAGAAATCGCAGGTGATGGTTGAGTATGTGGAGCTGGGGACCAAACATCTGCATCCTCGGATGCTACAGGATGGGGTTCTGCATCCAGCAGCCCCTCTCAAGGCTGCTGCAGGAAGGGATTCTATATCCACATCTCCTTTCCAGGATATGACAGGAAGGGATCCTATATCCAGCATCTCCTCTCAAGGATGTTGCAGGAAGGGATTCTGCACCCAGCATCTCTTCTCAGAGATGTTACAGGAAGGGATTCTGTGTCTAGCATCCCCTCTCAAGGATGCTACAGGAAGGGATTCTGTGTCTGGCATCCCTTCTCAAGGATACTGCAGGAAGGAAGGATTTTCCCTCCCTTGTGTGAAATCTGAACTCATCTTATGAGATGCACGATTAGATGTGGTGTGTCACATTCAAATACATTATTGATTGCACAAACTTTATGGACTTGTCTGAGAGCCTAATCATTTATGATTCTGTGTCTTGAGGAATTACATTCTAACTTAAAAGTAAGCAACTTACAGATATTTACAACGCCAGCCGTTCATAAATTTGAAATTCCTGTATACACAATTTCTGTGTTAGTGAGACACTTGGCTGTGTTGAGTTTTTATTTTGTTTACTGCTCATTTTAGAAAAGGTGACTCCTACTTGTTTCTTTGTGCACTTTGGAATCACTGTGTTTTGTGTAGATGTGTGTATCCTCCCAGGTCGCCTTTACTAAGGTCTTATTAAAAAGATTGGATTAGTCCCAAAAGGTAGTAATCTAAAGTAGGCTGGTGCGTAGGCAAGTTTTGAATCCATTTTCGTTTTCGTTTCTGTTCGTTCTTTAGGTTGGTTTTCCCCCCTGACTGATTACTAAACTTTGGCTGTCATGTATCTTAGTATATGCTCAGTGTCCGGGTTAGGTTCTATTATTGTCCTGACAGATCTAGAAAGAGAGAGAGAACCGCACTGGAGAGTTGCCTCCCTCAGATTAGCCTGTGGGCATGTTGGTCGAGCATCTTCTGGATTGCCAATTGATAGAGGAAGGTTTGGCCCACTGTGGGTAGTACCATCCCTAGGCAGGTGGGTGGGTCTGGGCTGTGTAAGAAACCGAGCTGAGCAGAAGCCAGAGCACGCTGGTAAGCGGCATTCCTCCGGGTTTCTGTTTTGAGGTCCCTCAGCGATGGACCAGCAACGGGAAGTGTAAGCTGCCGTGAGTCTTTCTGCTCTGAATTGCATTTGGTCATGGTGTTTATCACAGCAACAGAAGGCCGACCAGAACACTAAGTAACTGTATTTTTATCCAAACAAGTATTTTTTTCAGTGTTCCTAAGGCTCTAAGTAAATAATGATTGCAGCCACAGCTGGTTATCAGGGTGTAGTGAACATTCTCCAATCCTTGTCGATGTGACAGCAGGTACCGGATATTTGTCTACACCCCAGTGCACAGAGTAAACTACCCAGTGTTTTCCCTCCGTGTGGGTAGGAGGATATGCCTGCTGCTGTACTGCGTCCCGCACCGAAGGAATGCCATCTTGTAGGTTTCTGTCCCTTTCTGAAAGAACTTTTAAAAACCGTCTCCAACTAACAAGAAACTTGCAGGTTCATTGTCAAGATCTTCCCCCTACACACAAACCACGAGAATCGTAACATGTATTAAGTGAGGCCCTTTCTAATGTGCAAACTCCATGCCTCTTGCCTGCTCTGTGATGCTCTGTCTAAAGGCTGCAGTGCCTCTGCTCTGTTCCTAAGTCTCCCTCTTGACTCTCACCAACTTGGCATTTTCAGAGAGAATGGCTGGTCAAGTAGGATTGCCCTCCTCTGTGTTTGCCTGGTGTTGGCTCATTATGTGACTTGAGTGTGTCTTTCTGGCTCTGCTCTCTGCCTGTTGGGGGCTGGTTCCTTTCCTGTCAGTCAGAACATCGCATTGTGCCAACGTCCTTGTTCACTTGGATGTTGCATTTGTTGCAGATGTAGCTGTTCAAGAGGCTTCTTGTCGTTTTAAGGCCTTTCTTGGAGCACTTTCTTGCCCCCTGGAATACCCTGGAATATTCCAGCACACTGTGTGCTTTCCAGCCCACTCCATCCCTGATGGGAGGAACCTTGGTTTCTCCTCCCTGCAGCTTAGTGCTCCCACGCTGGTCAGCCATTGCTTCACGGTGTCTTCTTACTGATCCCGTGGAACATGGTCACTCTTTATGACTTGGTTGTGTCTCCTGACACCTGGCCACCCTTCATGGCTTCACTTCAGGGATGTGCACCCCTTTCTTTCTTTCTGCTCTTTCTAGGCTAGGCAGACCTGTCTGAGCTCTGCCTTGGTGTGAGCACCTCTGAGCCGGCTCGCTGAAGCTCTGATGTCTGATGCTGGCGGGCCTCCCCTCCCTCCTCTTTCCCCTCCCCCCTTCCCGTGCATCCTGCCCCCTCTTCATCCTGCAGGATGCCATCACTAGGTGCAGACCTCACAGTTCCTTCCCTACCTGCGCACTCAGGCTCACACTGGAGGCTGCTTCTCGTGGCTCGTGATTACTTGTTCATTAGGTGAAGGCTAAGAAGTTGGGCTGAAGTGTTTAAATGTCTTTAACTTGGGTGAAATAATGTTCCAGTTAGGGGGCACACCTTGCTAATTATAATGAAAATTAGAGCAAGAAATGAAATTTGGTGACCACCAAGTCTCTTTTATTAGACTATTTTTATTAAACTCTGAAGAATTCCCTTGAACAATTACTTCTGAAGTCAGGAGATGAAAGGTCACTATTCTGCCTCCATTCCTCCACTTTACCACACTGTTGGTCTGGGCCTGCCCTGGCTTCTCCACATGCTCATATATCCTTTAGTATTGCATCAGAATTCAGGTAGATGAGCCACTATGTAAAAATTTTAAAATGTTATTGTGTAAAGGGAAAGAAACATAAAAAGGAAAACTCTGGAATGTGTAACAACCTTAAATGTATATTTATAACTTGTTTTTGTCCCTCCCTCGCTTCTTTAACCAGAGGACTGTTCCTTTTGGCTCCCCTTGTACGGCAACGTGTGCTGCCGGTTCGTGGCCCAGCCAGCGTGTATGGCCGAAGATGCATTTGCGGGATTCCTTAATGAGCAGGTAGAGGACTTCACATCTGTCCTTCAGCTGTGGAGTGCCAATCAGACACCTACTACGCAGGCACTTGCTCCAGCGGCCTTTCTGCACGTGTTAGCCTTTTTACCGTTGCCGGACATGAGCTGCGGAAGGTGTGGGGTGGGAAGAGCGGCTAAGAGCGGCTACTGAAGAGGGCCTCCTGGAGTCTGGCTGCCTGCGGAGCTACCTCTCCAGTTCCCTCAGGTCGCCCACCCCACAGGCACAAGACCCTGGCAACGGTTGTCGTATGGAAACCGACTCCGGCTGCCCAGCACCTTTCCCATAAAGGCCCCTCTGGCAGACAGCGTTTGGCGCAGTTTGGGCCTCTGGGCTTCCAGAGCTGCCTCTGTGCCACTTATTCCTGATTTATTTATACTCAGAGTTATTTATATTCAGTAAATAATTAATCGTGGGCTTCGATGAATCAATAGCTTTTTTTTTTTCTAAAAGATTCCATTAGGAGGAAAGAAAATTTGCATTCTTAGCAGGTAGTCACCGTTTTCTAGTGTGCTGAGAGAAGTGAAGGGGAATTATTTTCAGTACAGAGAGAGTTATTTTTATAATTTCCCTGAGCCCTTTGATGAATTGCTGTGTAACTCTAAGCACTAGATTTTAATAGGCTAGCTTTCCCAAATCTGTGTTGATTTATGATTTTGTGTGTGTAAAAATTGTGTGGTAATAATTGCCTTCATTTTGCCTAATGCTTCTGAGAATTCTAGACTTCCCCGCTCTTGGATTTGGGGTGCTCAGCCTTACTGCCAAGCCAGTGAATGGCTAATTCCGTCACATTTTAAAAGTTCTGAAGCCTTTACTGATTATGTAAAAACCGAACTGAGTTTAGAGTTGAGGTGGTAGTGGTTCAGATTGATGTTTTCTTGACTTTTTTTTTTTCAGCAAACAGTAAAAGGTCTGGTTGGCTGGAGAAGGCTGTACTGTGCTCTGAGAGGGGGCAAACTCCACTGTTTTTACGGACCAGAAGAAATTGAAGCCAAGGTGGAGCCCACTCTGGTGGTTTCCATTGACAAGGTGAGCATGAGCGGCCTGCTCTTCTGTGATAAGCCCCGCACCGCTGAGCCATAGCCCTGGACATTTTAGATGCTGCATTCCCAAGGGCACGGCGGTTCATGACGTTTCTGTTGACGTATGTTCTTGACATCCTTGGAGTCATAGGGAAGAAAGGAAAGAACTGTGGAGACAGATGGGTTATTAACTGAACGTTCTTTGCATGCTAGGGCTTATTGATGGGACGGAACACCATCTATTCCCTAAGAACACATCATAATGGAAGTGTATGCTAGCAGGCAACTTTTACAGCCCAGACTCCTCATTGGTATTTGTGGGAGCTGGAGACTTGGATGATTAGTTGGGACGGCTTTCTGCCCCTGTAGAGGGTCTGAGCTTAATTCCCAGCAGGCACATCACGCAGCTCACCAAACACTTGTCACTCCAACTCCAGGGGATCCAGTACCCTCTTCTGACCTCTTAAAGGCACAAGCATACATGTGACATACACACAGAGACCAATGAATAAAAATAGACTTTGAAAGTCTTTTTTTTTAGGTATGTTTTTATGAATTCAAGGGATGATGATGTAAATGTTTGTCCGCCTGTGTTATGGCGTTATTCTTTCTAGTTAATATTCAAACGAGTTCATAGAAAGGCCTTTGCATTTCTTGTTTCCCGTGGGATGAATGGACAGTTGTCCAAACCTCTGCCAGCCAGGAAAGACTGGCAGTGCCCTTTGAACGGGTGAGGGTGCTTGCTGTACTTCACCTTTCCACCCGAAGCTCTGCCAGGGGGCTTTATCCAGGTCCGGGCAACAAAACAGTGTTGCAACCCAGTTACACATCCTTGGCATAAATTCTGTAGGGACCTGAGTGAGCACAGGATAGACCATTCTTCAGGCAGTCTGAACTTCATCTCTTGCCAAGGGTAGTGTTTATTGTGCCCCACCCTCTCCTGACAGCACCCTTCCCTAGAATCCGTCCAGTGACGTTTCTGTAGCCAAGTTCCAGTTGTTTCTATCTATTTCCATGCTTCCCCGTAGAGAGGGGTAGCTGGACTATGTGACCGGATGGGAGCCGTCACATCTGTCCAGCTGTCCATGCCCTGCTCTGGAGAGGAGCATGATGTCACCTGTGATTTCACACAACATCCCAGTTCTTGAAGGCGTGGCATTTATGTTTTTCTTCTGATCTGTACGGACTTGAATTTCGGTCTGTCATCTTTTCCAGCAGTATTTTTGTCTATCCCATCTTGAGAAATTTTTGGTTTATACCCAAAGGAAATTCTGTAGCAAGATATTTTATTGCGTAGTTAAGTCCACTTAATTTAATGTTTTTATTCGCAAGCTCTTCATAATAAAGTTTTAATTAAAAAAGTAAAGTTTAGGGCTATTCTTTAAGAATATAAATAAGTAATGCCTCAATATTAAAACATAATAAATTTATCTTGGTTTAGAAAATTGGGTTTATGGAATATATAATTTTATTAATGAAGACTTCATACAGTTTTTCATTATTGGCCAACTTTGTATTTTGTTTTGCTCATATAATGTTCTCTTTAACCTCTTAGTACTTGGGAAAATTCCCACAAAGGTTGAGGCAGCATGCTAGCCACCTATATCCTTGGCCAGGCGGAACTCCCTTCCATCTGTACCTTGGGTGTTCTGCTGTTTATGTGCTTTCTCCTGATTATTGTTTTATTTTCTGCATCATTTGAAGATCAGTTGCAAACAGCATCTTTCTCCTAACATCAAGGGTACTTTTGTGTATAACCATAACAGCATCACTTGTAGGAAGTTTGTTTCTGACACTGTATTGCTGTATACTCAGCGGGTTCCCCCAGTGTCCCTGACTCATCTAATTTTTATTGATTTACTTCTTTGGTCCAAGCCCCTTAGGCAGCGAGTCCTTTATCTAATCATGTTCTATCTTGTCTTTGTTTTTCTTTTGTGACACTGGCATGTTTTTTTTTTCTTAGTTCAGGCCACGTTTGGGAGGGAGGTGTATGTGACTAATTGGTTTGTTACATTCAGATTAAGTCATTTTGACTAGAGATACACTGCAGATGATTATGTGTTTAAGTTGGTTTGCATTCAATAGCTGTGTGGTAAAAAAAAAAAAAAATGGAATTCTGCCAAGATTTCCTTTTGTCCCATAGAATGTGGAGTCATAAACCAAGATAAAATATAGTCTAAACAAATGGTAGCTTTTAGATTTTATTTAGTGTGCGCGTGTGTGGGGGAGTGCACACGTGCGTGCTCACTTTTGAGCTTGTGTACCCATGTTTGTGCTTGTGTGCAGTCGTGATGTCTCGAAGGCAACCAGTCCTTGGGGGCTAGAGTTCCAGGCACTTCCGGGACACTCAGCTGTGCCCTGGCCGCTGGGTTCTTGTCCTCGTGACTATCTGGTTAGCACCCTCCTAATGCTAACCCATCCCCTCACCCCACAAATGATGTTTTCAAACTCATTTGCTTGATTCCAGAAAGAGTGTTTGTATTGGTCAACTCACCTTATCTCGGCTCTGTGGTCGGGCCCGCTGTCTCCTTTTGCAGGTGTATTACTTCTGTTTGATGAACAAAGATGTGGACGTCACCATTGGGTTGAACTTGCCAAACTAGTAAGGAATACTAGGTGACTTACCCTTTTCTGAGAAGGTAGGAAAAGATGAAACCGGTGAGCTGGATTTATTTAATCTCTTGAGAGATAACCCTGCCCAATAGGCCTGGAAAGCAGAACTAGATGTTTCTTGTCCCCGTACTGGTTCTGAGAGGGATTTCAAAGTTAGAATGAGCTCTAAGCAGACAGGGTCTGAACTGGAAGTAGCAGGTGACCGTATGCCTGTGCCCAGTCTGTAGGGAGCTTTGTGCAGAAGCTCGGGTTACCACCCTCAGTGCTCCTACACTTCCTGTCCAACGGTGAAAATGTCCTTCCAGAAGTGGGGCAGCACTGTTTGTATCCTGACCGAGCTTCCCTCTTCCCAGCTGATGGGTCAGACAGCCCAGGCGGCCGATGACGCCCTAGTCCATCACCAGGTTAAGAGCGGTGCCGGGAATCTTCATGCCTGGCAGGGCCCATGGTTTTGCACATCGCACCACAGTATGTTCTCCGGGAGATTTTTTATCTGAGAATTTGTGTAGGTTTGGCCTTAGACCTGGAGGAAACACCAATGACATTTGACCTCTACGTGCTTGAAAACACTTGATTAACCAAACCTTTATTCGTCACCCCTGGGGTGGGAAAGAAGTTTGAGGTTTTGAGGTCAGCAGCCCGTTTTTGATTTCAGTACATGAGCCATTTCAGCACGTTCACCCGGGAGCTTAGTCTCAGCAGTGTTCTCCGGAGGCGCTTTCCCCGGTAGCCATCTCCCTCTGCTGAGCCCTCCCATTCGCGTCAGAACTTCCCACGCCCAGTCAGTACCATCGAGCTAGGCCTTCAGGTCCGTCATGGGACGCACAGCTCCTAAGACTAAGACTACGCTTTCATGCCTGTGTCATTGTGCTGCTGTCGGGACAGCTGAGACATGTGGCAGTCTGGCCCAAGATGTCGTCCACCATTACATGTCCCTGGTGTTGCCTAAAGCGACCGCTCAGCCTGCGTTTTCAAGGCAGGATGTATCTCAATTGGCATTTTTCCCCAGGCAAGGACTGAGTGTCGCACTGGTGCCATGCTGGCCCGGGGACTGTGTTGTCCTTCATATGAACAGTTTTCTCCAGCCCCTGCCTCATTCTCTTTGTTTGGTAAACTCATACATTTTTTTTTAAAAGACTTATTTATTATGCATACAGTGGTCTGCCTGCATGTGTTCCTGCAGACAGAAGTTGGCACCAGATCTTATTACTGGTGGTTGTGAGCCACCATATGGTTGCTGGGAACTGAACTCAGGACCTCTGGAAGAGCAGTCAATACTCTTAACCATCTCTCCAGTCCCAACTCATCCATTTTTGTGTCTGTCTAATTACTTAGCTTTAGAAGACATGGTAGATTTCTTCTTTCCGTTCCCTTTTCTCGTGATGTTCAGAAGACAGTTTCGTTCACCGCCACTGTCAAGGCGACGTGAGCCACTAAGTTCGGTAGCCACTGCAGCATGGCCACTCCTGTTCTCCGCTCGGATGGCAGGGTCTGCTCTCTGGCTGTATTTCTTGTCCTTCTAAATAGCACTTCCTGTAAGGCCAAGTCCGTTCATTAATTTTCATAGGGAGCCATCTGTGGAAAGAGTCACAGTAAAGGGAGAAAAGCCTGAAAGCTATTCCCCACTGCCTTTCAATCCCAATCGGAAAGGGTGATTTACTTCAAAGTGGTTGCTTCAACTTTAGAAACCTCACTCTGAATGTTATTGAGCAAGACACTCAATGACGGGTACTTAACAGTCCCCTGTATACTGCAGAAAGTGCTTTATTAGCTGAGGCTTTATCTGTGGCTGGTGGGGTGGGAAAGAAACAAGAGGCTTGGAGATCAGCAGTCTGCATTGATTTAAATGGTATATACATCAGTCGCCTCAATAATGTATCTGCTGAACCAATCAATAACTCTGGTTGGTGTGGTATGATAGATTATACTGAACTATTTTGAAAATGCTTTTAACTGTTGTATTTATCAGGAATTTTAGAAAGCCCAGTTACCACAGATGGTGTGACATATTTTCCAAATTCTGCAAAGTGAAGCGCATCTATTTCTCAAATTTTATTTCTTTGGGCGCCCTTTGGGTGACTGCCTGCAGGTAGTGGGGCTTGCTGTTCAAAGAACAAGTAGGACATGGCCTCATAATTTCCTTGGCTTGTTCCCAAGTAATAAAAAAAAAATCTTCCTTCCAGCCTTTGCTATTAACATGGTATTTCTTAGGAAATTCTGAGGTTTCCAGTACATTTCCTACCAATAGCTGTGATCAGTTTCATCATTACCTGGTGCTAGAGGGCCTGGTAGACACATATGGGATCTTATGTCTGCTATATACAAGGGATGATCTCTATTTCTGATTATTTCTTGTAATTGAATAAATAGCAAAGTTAATTCTGAATCATCTGG